CTCTCAGAACCTTTGGTCGTTCGATCACGTGGCTCGCACGTATAGGCAACGAGCTCGTCATCCAGCTTCACCTTCTCAGGTACGCTTCCTTTTCGTCACCTTTCCGAATTCAATCTCTCAACTAAGTTGTTTTGCTCTCAAGTAATTGGAATTAAGTGATTATTTTAGTTAACTAAGCATTGAATTAGGTTTTTGTTTTTGTTGGGACACAATTAGGGTTTTGAAGGGGGCATAGGTGCTAATTTATTTACTGTTTGGTGACCGGGAAAGTGAAGGAAAATGAAAAGGCAATCAAGTTTTCACGCTTGGATTTAGTTTCTGTCTGGTTCGCTGTTTAAGCGGCAGATTGTCTAAAAGCAAAGAGAATAAAAAATGGCTTCAAATTATTGGTGGATTTTGATTACTTTACGTCTTAGTAGTGAAAAGAGAAAAGGAAATGCAAAAGCATTTCCATCTACTTCTGTTTGCTAGATTTTCTCGGCAACCAAACAGAATACTATACTTATTAGCTATTTCAAATTGTAACGGATCAACTTGGCAAAATTTGCAGCTTGCACTTCATACACTCAATTCATCAAGGTCGGCCTACCAGTCTATTACATTTAAGCCGAATTTCTTTGATGTCTATGGAATTTCTGGAGCTCAAGTACAGTGCAGCACGCTTTTGAAGGTATGGTCTTGTCCTTCATTTGCTTCTGTAAGAATTTGTTGGATGGATAGTGAAAATGTAGCATTCCAAGTGACTTGGTGTGTTTAGGTTGTTTGTTCTGTTCTTAGGACACCTATTGCAAGTACCGATCACTTGACTGTAAAATTGGCTGATCCGGATGCATCGAGAGTACAATGGGCTTTGGAAAGCTATAGTGGTAAAGTACTCATTTGATATTCTGCTACATTTTTCATCCAACTTCAAATATGGTGGTAAAGTACAAATTGCTAGGTAATTTTCAATCATCACTTCAGGAAATGACCATCATTGCAACAGAGCTGATGTCTTTACCTTCTGATGCTGCAAGTGAAATCTGTGGAAAAGCTCTTGAGCTTAGAAGTTATATGGACCCAACAAAAGGTACACGAACAATATTGATTTTTGCTATTTCACCAGAAATTAAAGTTTATTCTTTCACTTGCCAATGCAGACAATGATTCCTTATTGCGCACTCAACTGTGGATAGATCCTATGGAGGAGTTTGTGCAGTATACTCACACAGGAGATCCTATAGATGTTCCTTTTAGTGTCAAGGAATTGAAGTTATCTAATCTTGGCTCACAAAGTAGGTTTTGAAACAGCTTGATTACCTTTGGGTCATAAATCCTATTTAAACATGCTAATATATGTCATTATTCTTCCATTAATATGTGAGGTAAACCTTATGTTACTCTAAAAAACTGAAATGCAGGCATTCCTTACTTTTTGTGAAGGCTGCGAGGTTGACATTCACTTATTTTTTGACGTAGCAGCCGAGTAAGATATCCTTCTAGTAATTTTAGTTCTCCATACATTTTTGGAATGTCATAATTCTCTTTATAGCAACTCATAGAACAACATGTTCTGAAACATAAAATATTTCATGTCATCAAGCAATAACATCCAATCATGAAATAGTTCGGTTGCGATTGATAGCAATATCTTATAGCAAGTTTGTCATATATTTTTGTTGCATTAATTCTGCTTCTTACATCGATCATTTGCAACTAGATAGCCATCTAAATCACAAATGGAATATTTTTAGGAAGTTAGAAGTATATGAAACTTTGTTTAACCCAAAAAGAGTACAACACATGTTCAGTTTATTAGTTTTTAGGTTGGGACAATGCAAAGTCAATGAGTATGCTAATAAATGAATGCTTGTCTGCCTTGCCCTCTTGCGAAATACTATTATCACATTATGCCACATTATGCCAAAATGTCGGTTTGATCTTGAAAAGACGTTTATTTGGGAACAGGCTGATATTAGTGGCACCAAATTTTGACTAGATCATGGATCTGGCTCAAACTTTGATGCTACACGTGTACTTGCGACCATGCGTATATCACAGCTACATGAAGGCAATCCCTCTGAACCTATACAAGCAGCTTCAACAGTGCATGACCAGGCAATGCATGGGACAGGGTGTCAAGAACAGCAAGAGAGGTCTTGGGCAAACGTATCTGAGCACCCATCTGACCACACCTGAATATGGTCTGACCTATCAGGTAACTATTCAATATCATGATTTTGATGCTATATTCATCCTGAACCTCATGCATTACAATTGTTCTCAGGAAGTGCGGCAAAAGGTGGTAGTGGGGTTGAAGAAAGGCAGGTTCAAAAACAGCAGAACTTGAATGCTAGTGAACAGAGGGATATTCAAAAGATTAGCATGATGCAGATTACAAAAGCATGGTATTATACTCCTCAGTTTGCCTTCCCTACTCTTCCTCTTCCAGCTGCTGCTACTGCTACTGCTAATATTATGTTTTTTTCAAAACATACCAATCTGATTAAATGATGCAAAGTCAAAATGCATGTGAATCTTTATTCTTCACCATATCGGATCATCAATGTTTGTGTGTATTCTGCTAGTATTTAGTAGAATATTTGTTTTAAAAATTTAACATGTATCAAAACAAGATTTCTTTAACAATCTTTCGAAGTCTATTCGTAGATTTCTTCGACAATCTGTTTTTAGTTGATCCATGCCACGTAAGACAAAGATGATTTTATATGAGATATCTATATTAAAGGATTCCTTAACCTCGCTCAGCAACTACTAATATAAAACAATGTTGGGGTAAGCAAGACTGGAAGAGGATCTCTCGGGGACCCCTTATCTTCTGCTTGAGCAATTTTCTTTTCCACATGCAGCTCTTAATCATGAGCTTCAGAATTAGGCCCATCAGCTTTGTACAAAAGCAAAGCACAGGTGATCATGGTTGTTAGCCTGTACCAAATCTTGTGCAGCAAAATTGGAGGAAAATAGGTAATAAAAAAGAAGTTAATGGTTTACTCTTGCATTTCCCAACTTTCCTAGAAGAATGACAGTTGAGTTTTAAAGTTGATGAAAAATTGCTTAGCATTTGGAGAAAAAAGATTATTTTACAGGGAGATTTCTTCCTTATCTTTACTAGGATTGTCTTTTAATCTGATGTACTTTCCTTGGGTTAGCACCTGAAAGTGGGGGGAGGCTGAGTGAGTTTGAGCCTTGGAGGGGAAGGGAACACGCAAAAGATTTGGTTACATCCATTAGTATGGATGGACAATGATTTATAAGAGAATCTTAATCTAAAAGCCCAACATGAAACACATGTTAAGTCAGTTGTTCAGTCCATCAAAGCATGACTGCCATTTCATTTACAGCATATTCCCTGGGTTATCAATTTAAGAGCAGTTTCCATTAATAAGGAACCTGATTCCTTCAAATTCAATCTGTCTTCCTTCCCAAGCCTCTCAATTCCTCACCAAAAACATTGACAGAAGAGCAACATAAAGCAGAAATTTGTGTAGAAAGATACTTAACATTTCCCTAGCTTCAGCCAGTTTATTTGTAGAAGCAACTATAAGAAAGAATAAACAGCAATGTTCTCTCCACTAGAGGCTGAAGTTGGTCATAAAAATGGGGTTTAACATAACAATAATTAACAGTGGTGATGCTATAATTATAATCTTAATGATGGCAATCATGACCAACACAATGATGGAAGCAACCTTTGCCCTAAGTTCAAAAACAAAAGGGAAATCAAAGTTTACCATTGGCTTGGGATCTACCAAACTTTTTGGTTGTGGGGAAAGACTCTATATGTGTACCTAAAAGAAGGTTTGCTTCACTGAAAGCCAAAACAATAAGAATAGACATATCTCACTAAAAGGAAGCTCTGCCCCCATTAGAAAAATAACCAAATTGAAGGTATCATCCGATTCAACGAAAACAACTTCAACATAATCCACCAAAACAAACTACAACTTAATAGTTCAAACTAACACAAGTTCAGAAACAGCCTATTACTGCTGTCGGACTTCGCCTTTCTTCTTCTGCCAAAGCCTGTCGAGGGCACTGTCAGCATCACCCTGCAAAGTAAAACAAATCAATCAGCAGCTGACTTATCTTGATAAAGAACCGAGGGAACAAACCACAACATGTTAATATAGAATCGAACCTCTCTATCACCTCAAAATGATCAACGGTACGTAGACCAAATAATACAATGCAAGCAAAAGTTCCTAGATTCATGGAGATATAGAACAGCATATAAATTATCATTCTCGCACATCCACCATTTGAGTCTTCAATAATTATTGTCTCTTCTAGGTTTTAAGCATGAGTTTTGTCACTACCATACTGAACTTTAGCCATGAGATTGTGGTTGAAAATATTCTTAAAACCAACGGATAACAATAGACAATTAAAACATATCTCAAATATTTAGAGTGTTAACATGAAAAGGAAACCACAGGCATTTCATTAACAAAGCAAGATGAAGGACTAAGCCTTTTGCCGCAGGATGCGAATGTAAACATGACATAAATGCAACTATCAGATCCAATCTAACTATCAAACATCCCAGCCATAATAATTACAAAACGCATATATCCAAAAACAGCCCAAAAACAATCAGTAACCGACACGAACCTGGGCACGGACAAAGCCACAAAGAGCGAAAGTGGAGAATGAGCCAGTGTATCTGCCAAGCTCATCCAAGTGTCCAATGTTGATCTGGACAGAAGCATGATCCTTCGAGGTGATGAGCCTGTTAGTGGCGGAACTGCAACAACAACATCAAACTACACATAAGCTTTCAACACATACAAATAGTTCAAAACAAAAAAAGAGTGAACCGAATTAAATACCATTTCCTGGGTACATAAAGATCCACGTTTTGACCCTCTTCGTTCTGCATCTTTGCGGATTGCTTCACCGAACAAGAAACACAACACAAAGCTCAAATCACCTAATTCAACAACACCCAGTTCATAGTAAAAAGAACAGAAAAGCCAACTATATTTAAAGCGAACACAAAAGCCAACATCTGCTGATTATAACATCAAATAGAATTTGAAATCGAGATCAATTTAGAACCCTAAAAATTGAATTTGAAATCGAGAAAGGGCGAGAGAGGTACCTGGGAGAGGAAGAGGCGGCCGCTTGGTGAGGTTTAGGGTTCTGATGTTATCTGGAGTTTATATTGGGAAAATAAGGTGATGAGTTTTATTAGAGTAAAACGCTGCCGCCCGACTGGTATTCCAGGCTCGACTTATGGCTGGCCCAATGGGCTGAGATTGGAGACTGCAAGGTCTGCAAATCCAAAAGTCTATTTTTTAAATTTAAATTTATATATTTAGCAGTTTACAAATTATAAAATTTATATTTGATATATAGTTATTGTATACATTTTATATACTATTATTGAATTAGATATTATAACTTATTAATAAGTAAATTTAAAAGTTGGAAATCCTAAAATATAAATAATAATACTTTAAAAATATATTTTTTAAATTTTCTATGTGATATTCTGTAGTTAAATGATAATTAGTAGCTATTAATTGAAAAAAATTATATAAAATCTCCTAACATAACCAAATTATTTCAAATGTGCAACATAATCTTGTTTAATATTTGTTTTCATTCTCGATTTTGTTAAAATTAAATTAAGATTAAAACTCAAGATTATACAAATCAATGTTTCAAAGATACCGAAAGCTAAAACTTGTAATAAGAAATCTAAACTTAATATTTAGTTGGCTGTAGTAAAACTAATTCGATGTAAATCAAATGCAAAACTTGATTTATTAAAATTGATTAAAACATATTTAATTTGTTAAATACAATTCATTCAAAGTTCAAAATATCTTCAAATTAAAAAAATTTAAAGTCAAAATAACCCAAATCAAACTTCAACTTTCTTCTTCTGCCAAAGTTTGTCGAGATCACTATTAGCATCACCTTGTAAAGTTGAAGAAATCAATCAACAGCTAACTTAAACGCAACTTAATATCTTGATAAAGAATCGATAGAATAATCCATACGATGTTAATTTAGAATCGAACTTCTCTATCACCTCAAAATGAACAACGTAGACCAAATAATAGAATCCAATCAAAAGTGCCTAAATTCATGAAGATATAGAATAGCATATAAATTATCATTCCCACATATCCACCATTTGAGTCTCCAACAATTATTTCAATAATTAAATATCCAATTTGAGCTATGGAATAAATACAGTTTAGGTTGATTGTCTTTTTTTTTTTAATTATTTCATTCTTTCAATTTCTTTTTATTTGTAACAAAAAAATCTACATGAATAAATGATTATCTATGAAAACAGACTTTATTAAATTATAAATGTGGACCGTTAGTCCAATGAATATCAAGTAAGTATGTAACCTCATGCTAAAGAAAATGAATATATACAATATTACAAATTATCTTATAAAAATAACATCATGTACTTTATTATGGAAATGTGCATTTTTGCAATCTTTGACTTTGATGTTGAATCAATGAATAATGTATGAAAGTGTTTGTATAGTCCTGAACAAGTGGAACAACTCCTTCACGCAAATGGCATTAGAAGTAACTAAAAAAAAAGTGATAGGTTTCATAAGTTACTTTCACATAAATGGCATTTGAAGTAATTAAGAGCAAGTGACAAGTGCATGACTTATTTTCACTTTGGGATGTTCTTGAGAGTTCTTGAGTAATTGCTTCTTTTAGATCTATATATAGAGCTTTTGACAATTCATTTTGAGCAGAACAAGATTTCTTGAACTATTGCAAACATGTTTTTACTCTTAGCTTATTACTCTAAATATTTTTTCCTTAATTCTCTATTACTTAGTCTTTCTCCACCTTATTCACAATTCTATATTACTTAGTCTTTCTCCACCTTATTCACAATTTTTCTCTTCTACTTTGACAATACTGTTAGTCTGTCGTGTGCCTATTCTTTATCTATTCTCAACCTTACACTGCCATTCACTTTTTCACTTTCAGCTACCCCAACACTTGATACATTAGGAACTATATTAATCTTTTTCTCCACTACGTCCAATAGATTTTTTTTACTTATTTGGAACACTTCATCTCTCATTTTCACAATAAATCCTTTACACTTCGAAATGAAAAGGAAAATAGTCCCAATTTTTCTTTTGAAAAGAACTAAATTAATTTTATACAAATATTTAACCATCTTTTCTAAAAATTGATACATTGAACATGACATCATTTGAAGTAATTAACTTGAAAACACATTCTTTCTATTTTTTAAGCAGAGAGTAGAATCTTTTAGGAGAAAGGTGCCTCTTCTATTTTTATACAACTACGAGGATATTGAAGATAAGTCTGAAGGCGTCAAAATTACATGGTACAAAGAGAAACATCCCATGATAAGAAGATAATATATAGTCATCCTCTTGATAATAAGAATTATTACGCTTTCATCTTTCACCCAAAGATTGGAACATCATCATGGAGTGATATTTGAATCATGTGGGCAAAGCCATAAATAAAACTATGAGGTAATGAGAGCTTTATATGAATTGTGGTGATGGTTTATAAGATTATACATGATTAGAACATCTTGAAAGTTTTGATTCTTTTGTCATGGATCCCAAGAAGGAGGAGGAGATAATAAACGATCTTATTGCATTTAGCTGGGGAAAAGAATATAACTCTAGCCTTAAAAATGTGGTTATCTGTTGTATAGTTCTCTAGGAATTGGCAAGTCTACTCTAATTGAGTTGACGACGGTTAAGGACAATGCTCACTTAAAAACACTTTTAATTAAGTCATATTTTTGTGATCGAAGATATTGTTCGCTTGATATTACGGAAAAACACAAAACAAAAAGGATGAGGAAAAAAAATGAACTTATCTGATTCTAATGATAAGTAGCAAAATAGTAAAAGTAAGGTTATAAGAGAACAATGGCTTTGGTAAGGTTTAGGGCTCTAGAGTTTATATATGGAAAATGCCCTGATGTGTAGTATGCTATTTATTAAAAAAAAACGCTACCATTTTATGATTCAAGTAGTACTATAGGCTTGTTTTGTAGCTCGGCCATTGGGCTCAGGTTGGAGCCCAACAAAGAGTATAAATCCAAAAGTTTTATTTTTAAGTTTAAATTGATATATTAAACCGTTTAAAAATGATAAAATTATAAATTATAAAAATTATAAAAATTTAAATTCTTTTAAATCAATCACATATTTTTCTTCAATTTAAAAGAGGATTTTACTTCCTTTGTAATGATCGATCTAGAAGTAGCCTTCGAATGCATATTTTTCAAGTTGTTCTTAAAAATGTCCAAATCCTACACCAAAATATATAGCTTTAGGTTTCTTCACTAAGGTCGCTGCCTATGATTATATAATATATTTATATTAACCTTAATAGTATTTTAATAACTTCAACAATAGAAAATAATTTAGGCTCCAATTATTTATAAAAGCCTCTTTGTTATCTTTTATTTTATTTTTTGTATATGTTAGTCGCCCCCCAAAATCCTCAGTGCTCCCCAAAGGAGCACGGATCTCATGCTCCCCAAGGGAGCCACACCCCCCACCCCCAATTGCACTTCCTTAGGATAAGGGCATTTTTAAAATCAATATTTGTTTAATCAATTTTTTTATTAATCAACGCCTGAGCATTTGGCTCATAAGTTGGTACATTATCTCCCTACCTAAAAAGTAGAGTTTGAATCCTCCTTCCTTTAATTATATAAAAAAAATTATTAATCAATTTTCATACATCTTAACTAAAAGGCTAAATGCTCAAATTGGGATTAAATGTTTGGGCACCTTTTCAATTAAGGGCCAAACATTTTAATTGTAACAATCAATGGTCAAATGTTTTTGATTTCTTATAATTAAGAGCTAAGTTGACTGGTGGATGGAGTCTATAGCATATGCGATAGAAAATTGCCTTAAAAATGTAGTTATAATCACTAGGTTGAAAATTATAATTATACGTTATATTAAAGATTTAGTTGTTATACGTCAAACTAAAAGTTTAATTATTACACGTTATATTGAATATTTAATTGTTACACGCTATGTTGGATATTTAATTGTTACACGTTATATTAAAAAATTTAATTGTTACATGTTATGATGAAAAAATTGATTTGATAAAAAAGACTTTTTGATAAAATTATCTCTCCGTATCTTACTTTTTCAAGTTAGTGTCCATATGATGTACGTATCTTACACGTGTTAAACACCTCTCACTTTAACCTTTAATTGTAAGAATCCGAAAATCTTTAATACTAAATTGACAAAAGTCAAAAAGTTTTGACCTCAAGTTAAGCATTTAGTTTAACAAAATTTAGAGCCATCAAAATTTTAAGGGTAAAATACCCCAAGGCTGTTAATTTTTAATTGAAATTTCAAGCAAATGCATTAAATTTTGAAATAAGCATTCCGTTCAAAAAAAATCTTTTACTAGACATATAAGTCTAGTCAATCATTATTGTTTTCATTAGTTTGATAATGTGATAATATTGAAATATTTTTTTTAGTTTTATTAAAAAAAATATAATAATAAATTTTAAAATAATATAAAAAATTTTTAATCTTTTCATCATCTCTTTTAATGATGTTTACAATTTTAATAATTTTAATTATAAATTAAAACAAAAATATTCCCAAGATAATTTTGAAGATCTCTTCATATCCGTTTCTATTCCTTGTCTTTCTCTAAATTTGAAGGTTTGTTTTTTCTCTCTTTTCTGATTTTGAAGGTCGTTTTTCAAATTTTCAATTCAAAATTTCACTAGTTTTTCTTTTCATTTTCGTTTTCTTTTTTTCTCTTCAGATTAGTGATGATTTCCCTCTATTTACTCTATATTTTTGGGATTTTTTTTTGAGGATTTAAAGTTCACTCTCTGTAATTTCTCTTGAACTGTGCAATCTTTATTATAGGATCTAACTGTTCAATCCTTTATGTATCGATTTAGGAACATCTCTGTTTGATAATTTTCAGTAGGCAATCAAAGATATCTACACTTGTTCACAGCTTCTCTCTTTTTTGAGTATTTTTAATCATGACGTTCTTTTTCTCTATATGGAATTTGTTATGAGCTGTGGGTGGATGTCTGTTTGTATGGGTCACTTGATTACTATAATGAATCACATTTAGAACAAGGACACTGTAAATTGAATAAACATGTGCTTTACACTTTTATGCATCAGGGCTAACTTCTCTTATGGCATTTTAGGGGTTACGAACTTGAAAAGCTAGCAGATTTCCTGCAGCAAGGTTACAGATTTTGGCATTACTTATTTGAAAGGTACTTTGTTACTGTTTCATTTGCTGTCATGCTTTACATTTTGGTATTAGGGTTGTAATTTATTTAGTCATCTATGACAGATTGATTGTGTATGTTGGGCTATTATGACTGTGGGATGCTTTTATAAGTGTACTGCATGGTTTGGAATGTTAAGATGAAGTTGTTCAACCATTCAACAATGAATGTTCATCCTCTCAACAAACCCTCCCCTCTTCCCTGGCTGGTGAGCTTGATGGCGTCAATATGAATTGGAGGGGGCTGATATTAGATTTATATGAAAGGAAGAAGATTTTGTTTGCTGTATGCATGTATAATGTTGGGTAAAATTGCATTCTGTCGCTCAAAGAGAGTCGAACTTATTAACCTTTGAATAAGATAGTTTTTATGAACCAGAATTCTTGTTTTATTTTTTTTTAATTTCCCTCTTGTTTGTCCTTTTCTTGTTGTGAATTGCTGATTTATTTCTTTTAATCTTTTAGATTTGCATATTAGCAGTGGTATATTGAATTTTTGTCCTGTGACAACTGGATATTTGGAATTTGATAAATTTTTTAACTTTCTTCATCATGATGTCATTGTGGTTTCTTGTGTATATTATGGCCTGCCTCAACTTGATAGGTAAAGCTTTAGCATTCTTAACATATTAGCAGATTATAGGAATTCTGAAATTGGCTGTTACTAATTATTGAACTTTTATTTCATTAAAATTGCTTATCTTTTGAAGAATTTACCAAGGACTCCCATAGTGTTAAAAGTTGAGACATAATAATAGAACACTAAATGTGCTTATAGACTTCTTGATATTAAAGAAAGGAATATAAGACGCACTTGAATGTGAAGTCACAGTGATTTATTTTTTCCAAAAAAAAAATGTTTATCTTTTCAATTATGCTTCAGGTCTGCAAAAGCTTTCTATTTTGAACTTGGAGGGCTGCCCAGTTACAGCTTCATGTTTGGATTCTCTTTCAGGTTTATATTCTTGGCATCCATGATGCTTGTTATTTTCTTCATTTGATGATTCCATCGGGAACTATAATTTGCATTTTGTGCATCTGCTGTTAAAAGTAGATGATACCTTGAACAATTTAACGTTTCTTGTACATGATCATCCAATTTTCGATTGGTTTACTCCTTGTAGGTTTGGGAAATCTGGAGAGTATAAATCTGTCATTCACTGTAGTTACTGATAGTGGTTTAAGAAAACTGTCTGGATTGTCATCTCTTAAATCACTTCACCTGGATGCCTGTCAAATCACAGATGCCGGACTTTTAGCTCTTACAAGTAAATCTGTTCAAAAGAACTATAGAGGCAGATTTTGCCTTAAATTTGTTCTGAGTACTTCTTTCAATTCTTTGAATAGTTATTTTTATTTTTCTAAAATGAGTGATTATGAAGTAAGATGCCCATTTTTCTGGTCAAAAAGTTAATTATCTGAAAAGTATTGATCTTAAAGTAATTTTAAAGCTCTAGAAATGCAAAGAAGCATAACATTACATCTTTAAGCTTTAGCAAGCACTTTAGGATGCCTTTCCTTAAATCATGTACATATAAATAAGCATGTTCAGATCTATAAAAAGAAAAAAGCACATTCTAATTTGTAGATTTATTTAATTACTTGTATTTTTCTCCTCTTCTTGAGACAGGTTTGACTGGACTGACTCATCTTGATCTTTTTGGAGCTGGTACCACTGATTCCGGGACAAATTATTTGCGAAGTATGATATATGACACTTTAGTATTTTGAATGTCCTTTTGAAAAGTAGAATATTCTACATACTAGTCCTTCTGAATGGTGAAGAACCATTATATTGAAAAAAATTTGTGACAAAAGTCTTACAGTGTGGGAAAATATCCGTCACAATTTCTGTCACTAATTTGTATTCTTGACGGATTTTGGACTTTCTGTGACGGTTTCTTCTGTCATAGAAACCAGTATTTCTGGTAGTGATGTCTTTTTCAAGTCCCCCCTCCCTACCCTTTCTTTTTGGACAATATTAGCAATCTGAAAATTGATTGGAAAAGAAAATGAGGAACAGTAATGTATAGAGAACCATAGAGAATAGTGGGATGTCCTTTTTGAATTTATTTGAAATTTAGCTTTCTTTGTAATCAATACTACCGCACAAGCAAAAAAGCTCTTGGTGGTTTTTCATATTTTTTTAATGAAGAAGGAACTAGTTAATCTGATTTTTGATCTTGGAGGTTTGTCCCATCTCAGCATTCAACTGATTATTTCAACCACTTTTAGGGGTGTGTTTCATGTTTTATGATTTGGTTCGATAGGATGAATGCTTAACTATCTGATAATGCTCACAATTCAAATTCTTAGAAAGAAATGACTTAACAGTTCAAATGACTTATTTCTTAAAACAGGAGTAGAAGAAAACCAAAGTAGCAAAGATGCAACGGAGAATGTCTACATCTGGGAGGCCTTCAGGCACAGATGGCTCAGATTTCTCTTATCGGATGGTTGTTGATTCCCGTACGCTCCTACTTGTAGTAATTCTATTTATATTTTTACTTTTAATATTAGTACATCTATGATCTTATCAATATATTTTTTTTTGTGTTTCCTTGCATCTTATTTTCAAACTATTTAATTCAGTTCTTTATTTGTCTACTTATTTAGTTTGATGTAAATTTTTAGGATATCAAAAAGTAGCTCGTACAAAGTCTATTTTGCGATCTTTTTTTGTAGTTCAGGTATGCTACTCTCTTATTCCTATAAAATCTAATATCTGCTTGTCACCTGTGTTTTGACTCAAGTGGTACAGAAGCCAAAATTTGCTTATCTTTTAGAAGCTTCAGTTTGCTTAGCTTTTATTTACCTCGATAGCATTCTTCTATTGCAGGCTATCACACTTATGGTAGGACTGTTTTTGCTAATTTTTCTATCAACATCAGAGGATTTGGCTTCCCATGGGCGTGAAATTGCTGCTACCACTTGTGGTCTCATTTCTTTGATAATAGGAGAAATAGGTTACTTCCCAACTCCTATGTTTCTCTATAATTTTTTCTGAGGTTGGAATTTGTTTAATGCTAGATCTTTGTCATTTGTGTAAGGTCGGAAGCGCAGCCGAGTGAATGTGTTGAGATTTTTTATGGCCACTTCATCCATTGTTGTCACGTTCTTGATGTATTGCACTCTTTGCAAGTTTTCAAGATTTAGGGTAATGATTTTACTTTCTTTCTTTCGAGTTTAAAGTGGTTCTCTTTTTTCTTCACAGTTCTTAATAAAGTTAAAAGGGTTAATTTTGGAGTACGTTTATTTTGTTGCCATTGATTATCACATTATTCTTTGTCTCGATAAAATTGATTTCATGTAATTTCTAAACTTCACCAAATTAAGAGAAAAATAAAAGCAAAGAAATAGATAAATACATTGTAGACTTTAAAAAATGGAAAAAATGATGCAAATCTGTTGTTGGCTAGATAATAATAATATTTGAAAGGTAAAGAACACGAAGGAAGAAACGAAATAATGGGGTTTCATGAATAAATTAGTGAATAAATGGCATAAGAAAGTAGATGTAGTTTTTGTAATAGCTGTTGAAAGGCATTCCATCCCTCCTCCAAAGTAGTAGAACATTTTCATTTTAGATTTTAGTTGAGCAATTTTGAGGTTGGAGCTGTTAGTTGAATGCAGTGCTAAATTGGTTGCTAGACAGGGTGATTTATGAAGTCAGCATCCGTTTAGATGAACTAGCATGTAGTCTTATTTGTACTAATGATTATTGTGTTGAAGTCATGAAGATATTTTTATTAGTGTTACTTTTAGTAGAAAAGAGAGAAAAGAGAATTTATTTCAGCTCTAATATTTATAGTGATAAATTCTGTAATGATCTCCTGGCTGTTATGTATTTGTTAATAGACTGCCAAAAACCCAAGTTACTGGGAAACAATGTTGGAACTTCCTGAGGTAGCTCTTTCTCTAGTTGGTAAGTTCTGATTGTTTGGTACTTGTACGTTTTCCTGAAGTTTATGATCCTAATGACCATGGTCATCTTTGCATTTCCATTTTTTTTTTTTAATTTTACAGGACTGGTGTTTCATTTATTTATCATTGGCTACACAATTCATCTCATTGGTAACATGTCTCCTCCTAAGAGAGCTTCATAGCTCTATGGATATAGCTTGGTCACAAATCCTACATCAGTGGTAAAGAGCAATTTGTTGTCTTACTCATTCCCATAAACTTTATAAATCAGGAAAGATAGTCAGTCTAGTTAACAATTTTTTTTTGCAGTTTTCGAATTAGATTGTTGGACCTGTGTTTTGTTCATAATTTGTTCAACATTTTTGTCTACTTGCTATTCATGTCAAAGTAAATGACCTTTATGCTCCCAGAAAAAGATATGGAGCTGGATACTAGGGAGTTCAATCATTTATGTCTTTTTGGTTTTCTTGAAATGGCAGATAATGGGATGACAAGCAATTATCTTCTGATTATATTTCTATTAGCATGTAGATTGCAAGATTTCTGAAAGGATCATTCAGCATTTTGGATAATTGTTTTTATGTGAGGGTGGTTTCAAGTTTATTCTAACTTTTGGATCATTTAGGTTGAAAGTTATTTCAGAATTGAGTTATCTAAAGCCAAGTTCATCCTGGGTTATTGCTCTCTTTGGATTTGGCCTTGCTTCAGGTATAGTCCTATAGGTTATTTTATTTTGACATTTTTTCAAATATATTGTTCCTTTCATTAAATAACTACTTATTAGGAAGTTTTCATTTAAAAACTATCTTTGATCTGCAACCAAAATTGAACATGTTTATACATGAATGGAACCTTACTTCAATAAAAGATATATCTATAAAATGTAGAATTTTATTTTTGGAGAACAAATAATTTCTGAAATTGAACTCATATAAACATTTTATTTTTGGAGTTTAGGACAAATGGCATAAAGGAAGGCATTGAAAATTAATCTAGCCTTGTTCATGGAGTTACATCAAATGTCACCTTTGAACTGCATAATCAAACAATTAAGTTATACATACATCTTTAAGTTAATTGTGGAGATTCCGGTATGAGTATAAATAATCCTAGAATATAACAATTTATCGGTTATACATTGAAAATGGGTTTTTTCATGGAAAGGTTTTTAACGAGACTCGCTTCATGTCATAGGAATTTTATAATGTAATTTAGAAAGGGTTTTTATTCTTCTTAATTAGTTTGAATCTTACCCCTTTTTTTATTATTATTACAACTATTTTATCTTGACATGATAAAAATTTATTAGATAAATTGAAGATTGAAGTCTACCAATTCAACCCATGAAAAAAAAAAGAAAGAAGAAAGAGTACCCTTCAATCATGCCCTCCTACCCACATTAGCTAGAATTACCATCATTCCTAATTACATTTAGTGTTGCCACAGGAACATCTAGAATTAAACTAATCCACCTCCGAATCTTTAGCCAACTCAGCAATTTCATAGGCCACCACCTTAGTGTCTCTTCTGCAATGCTCAATAGATGTACAATTAAGCCGAGTCATTCCAAAGCAACAGTCTTCAATCCCATGACCAACCTCCCCATTAAATCTCTTATTTTTAATCCAATTAACCACTTGAAGGCAATCCATTCCTATCTCTGACACAAATACACTTTCCTTATAGCAAACCGAAAAGGCACATAGCAAAGCATGTACACCCGAGTATTTAGCTCATTAATTAGCGCATTATCCCCTGTTTAAAGAACAGAGTTCGAATTCTCTTTGTCTCAATTATAAAGCAAAGCATGTAAAGCACTTGAATCTCGTCCCACCAGCAATCACCATTTCCCCCAATGAATTTCTGACAATGAAAACCCCATGTTTCACCATTTAATACAACAGCATTATCCCAGCTGGAGCTTGCCATCTTCTATCTGCAGCCACCGCTTTGAATTGAGTCGAATGTCCCATAGCCATTGCAGCATGGTGTTGAGTACAAACGTCATAACTCATCTCCACCACGTTCTTAGGTTCCTTGCTTTCATTCTGAAAAACTACTGCATTACATGTCATTTCCTGAGAGCCCACAAGACACAGCAAATCTCCTCCATGTCATCTTTACCAACCTATTGGAGTATCATTGTAATCCATCCACCTGTAGAAGAAAATTATAGAGACAAACAAATCTCTCAATCCCCATTTAGTCACGAACCATATCGCTTTAGCAAAAGGGCACTCACAGAAAATATGTAACTCTGTTTCAATCTCTGCCCTACAAACTGGGCAACCTGGATGAATATTACTTCTTTTAATCAAAGCATTTGGGTCCTTAGGCAGCAATGCAAAACCCTCCATACAAAATGAAGAATTTTCCTTGGCAAGTTTAAACCCCATAATTTCCTCCACATCACCAATTCATTACCAGACGAGCTCAGTATCTGTGCATCACCCATAATCGAGTATATGAATCTATAGCCTAATTTGACAGTGTATTCCCCATCTTTACTTTTGTACCACACTAATTGGCCCTCCGGTCTCCTTATACTCAATGGCAATGATAAAATAAGATTACTTTCATATCGAGGAAAGTATTCTCTTTCCTCCCACCTTGGTGGATGTTGTCACTCTTTCATCACAAATCAGAATTGGATTGGGTATATCATAAGGTATCCAATTACAGGATCTACCCAAAATTTTCCTCCCATCACCAACCCTCCAACAAGATCCTCCACTAATAAGAAATTTACTTTCTCTAAGACTCCATGACAAGTAACTAGGGTTGGACCCCTTAGGAGCATCCAAAGAACTTGTTTTAGGGAAGTAAGTGTATCCTTTTCTAGTTGTGACCTCCATCTCTGCTTGGCCAACATCCCCAAATTAAATGGTCGAGTATCCCTAAAACCCATTCCTCTGGAGTGCTTCAATGAACACATAAATCGCCAGTTCTTCCAATGAATCTTAGTTATCAATCTACCAGGAACGAAAACACTCTGGTTCTTAGATATGATGTTAGGTAATTTTGACCTCAACCCATTAGTAATAACTTTGGAAGCTATTTTATGCAACACATTGTATTTTTTATTCATATATTTTAACCACTTACTCAATAAATTGATTATATATTTCATAGTAATTTATTCAATAATTTATTTACAAGAGCTTAAAGGTAGTGGCGATAGCAGGGAGAAAGGGAGCTTAGGACTAAGGAGAAACTAAGAACAAACATGAGGGAGGAAGGCAATGCAGGTGGATTGGAGAGGTTGAACGGTGGCAAGGGTGCAAGGCATTGGTGCCGTTGGGGCTTGAGGGCTTAGAGGTTATAAGTTTTTGAGAGTTAGAGTTGAAACTTGAAAGAGAAGAGTAAAAGAATTGGGAATAGAAAGGTTGAAAAGGGTCGATCGAGGTCGGGGGGTAGTTTAACAATGAAAAGTAAAAAGAAAATATAAATATAAATTATATAATTATAAATTTAACATATTCGGTTATTCGGTCAATTTTTCTACCGACTCGACCAAATAACCCACCTAAATCGAGGTGCTCTAACTGAAGCACTGAACATTTGAGCAAATTGATCCGTTGACCCGAATTGAATTGGAGTTGGTCAATTAGTTCCGATTGGATGGTCAATCATAGCTAAACAAAAAGATTGACGATGACTCTTTTTTTTTTTTTACATCTAGGGATTGATTTTTCAGATTTGTATGTTATGACGTATTTTGAAAATTGATGGACACATTTATGAATTCGTAGACTCTATCTTTAAATTTATGTAATAAATTATTGTAAAATCAAGGCAAATAGTTGTGACAAAACAGACCAAGAAAAAGGAAAAATCCTAATAAATTAAGAAGGAAACGAAAGTGTTATTCCTCAAAGAGAACCAAAACAATCTAAACAAATTATTGTTTGTCTTTTGTTTCTTTTTGTATAAATAACGCTGAAGATTCTTTCACTGCTGAAATTGAATCTTGCCTTAGGTAAAGATTGGAGGATACACAGAATGGCTAAAGAAATAATTGTTCTACAGCTAATGAGAATTGAAAAATAAACCTTTGTTCTTTTCATAAGTTTTCTTTGTATCATTTATTATTATTAGCAAGGTTGCATAGAAATGGAGAAGTTGCTATTTGAAAATCTCAAGTCAATTTCCATGCATGATCAATACATTTGTCAAAGTAATTATTCAAGACTAGGCTTATGGCATGCATGTGTGATTGGCAGAGGGGGATTCACTGAATGAACCATTGATTATATGATTAGCAATCCAATGATTGGTAGCCTTGGTGTAGTGGACACCATCCCAGTTGATATACTCTTATCGATTTTGCACATGCGAGTATATGTATTAAACAATTAATATAGACAGTAAGTCCAGAATCGTATCTCACAAGGATTTGCTCTTAATTCTTCACTAAGTACTAAAATTATGACAAATTAATCTTTTTCAAGCAACTTGATATTTTAAAAAATTAATAAAAATTAAATGAAAGCAACCACTAAATTAATTAAGAAAAACTAAAAATTCACTTGAGAAAGACAATATATTAAAATCTAAGATTATGGGTTCATTCAATACTTCATCTGATAGCAGCTTGTCTTGTTATTTGTCTTTCTTGAGTGATTTTACTAATTTAGAATCCAAAGTTATGGACAAGTCTTCATCGACTTGCTTGTACAAATACTTAACTTAATTAGTTCACTATATGTCTATAGGAATCAATTAAATTAAGTTCATTAAGCAAGTATCGTAATGTGACTATGTATGGTAATTGGTGTATATCTATCCGAATTGCAAATCAAATCACCTAACTAATGTGAACATACACTATTCAAACTTTAGTCCAATATAAAATCTCTTTGTCGAGTCTCAATTAAATTCACAAATCAGTTAATTGTTGGCTAGATAATCAAAAGCATTAAGAACATATTTGAATAAGCAAAACTATACCCATTAATGATAAATAAATGAGAAACTAATATTCAAACTACATGTTGAAATCCACCACAATCCTAGAAAGATAATTTAGCTCATAATAACAAATAAAAACAACATCCAAAGAAATTTAGCCATGACTCCAAGTAAAAAAAAAAATAAAAGAAACACAAAAGTAGATAAATAAACCAAGTGTTGAAGCTTTGCAATATCAATTCTCTCTCTCAAATTCTCTTGTTTTATTGTTTTTTTCTTGGCTCTAAATCTCCAAAATAGTTAGTTGTGGCGCTTCCTTAAAACCTTTGAAAAAAGTCCTTTAAATAGGCTTCAAGTAATCTAATTTTTAAAATCCCATCAAATTTTTGTTTTTAAAAAATCACCTAGTGCCGCGGCCTTGATTTCTTGGTGTTGCGGTGCTGGTTTTTTTAGCTATAGTAGCACTATAGCCTTGTTCTCCCAGTGTTATGGCTGTTTATCAAATTTGAACGTGATTTTCACCCTGATCTGCTTTGAACTGGAAAAGTGGTAAACATAAAAG